TTTAATCATATTTTATTCTTTTGAACTCTTTAGATTTCATTTATTGAACCTTATTTAGACATTCACTTCAACATATATTCTTAATCTAGTTAGACCGGACGATGTTGCGATCGTGAAGGGCATCAGTACCAATGTGGCGCCAGTACCGACGATCGACAGGCACCGCTACTCCCTTTGTGGAGTAGACGGCATCCCCGTCTTCGATTGGCACCGCTAATATTTTATAATATATTATAAAGTATAATATTTTTATAATGTGTATATATCGATATACAAATAGATATATTAATTACCAAAACATTATTTTAAAGATCGTAACAAATTAAATACTCTAGGTAGAAAGAAAAAGAGGAATTTACTTAAATAGCACTAAAACATAATGACTTTCCCTAGATAGCATTACATGTGTTTTTCTTCCCAATATAGCACTTTTAGTCATTATGCATTAGTCATTATTCAAGTAAATATTCGTCATCACAGGACATTATGGACATTATTAAGTGCTATTTAGAAAGTAAAACAATTTAAGTACTATTTATGGAAATGACTTAAGTTTTAGTGTTATTTAGTGCAAATCTTTCAAAGGAAAATTATGAACCGTTGGATTAAAAAGAAGGATGCATGTTATGGGAAGAGTACAAATTTGTACTTATTAGGCAACATAATGTCACGTAGAGAGTACGAAATGTGTTCATTTAATACAACAGTAATTGTGGCTTCTACGTGGCTAAATTCATCAGTAAATGCTTCGAAGAATCACATCCTTGTACGCTCCTTTGTTGGAAATATTAAATTCCAGTATGTTGGAAAAATTAAATTCGAGTATGTTGTACGTTTAGTTTAGAAAAAAAAGTCGGATATTTGAAGAAGCTATTAGAAGAAAATTGAAAAGAGTTAATGATATGTTTGTAAACTTAAATTAGATTTTAAACTTAGATTTAATCTAAATTAGTTCTTTGTGAATTGAATTCAAAGATTTTGGATTTGGACCAAATTTTTCTAATTCAAAATTAACTCAATTGCAAATTTACACATCTCCCCATTCTATTCACAAATTCAAGTCTAACTATTTTTACTTTATTTCTTATAATTAAAGAGCGATTTCTTTTCATGTTAACAATAGTCTCATGCATATCAACCAATTTCCACTTTTCGGCTTTGCGGACTTCGATTTCAAATTATAGAATTGAATTTCTATGACTTCCAAACAACATTTGGAATTTGAAAATATGATATTTTCAAATATTTGAATTGAAATCTAAGATTTTAAATGAATTCTAATTTCCAAAATCTAAGAGTCCGTTTGGTATACGGAATTCCATAGAATTGAATTCACCAATTCCAATTTATTTTTTACACTAGCAATTCTAAATCCACATAAGTTTGAATTCCGTGTACCAAACGGGGCTTAAGATTTCAAACGAACGCCCCCGAACCTTACCCCCGCCCTACTCTTTGCAATAATGATGCTTCCTAATAATCATATACTCCCTCCGTCCCTAAATAAACTTCCCCTTTTGTTTTTTTTTTGTCCCCAAATAAACTTCTCTTTTTCCTTAAAAAACCCCTTTTTCCCCGTACTTTTTTCATATCGTACCTATCACATCATATCTTTTTACTTATAATCTACATATCATATCTTACTTTTACCCATCACATCAAGGGTATTTTTGGAAAGTCAACACAAAAATATCTCTCGCTTAAATACTCAAAAAGTTAAGAAGGAAATTTTATTTAGGGACGGAAGGAGTAATTTTTTAGGTGAAAATTTAAAGGTGTCTTTTAGTCACGTAATGGGAGGAGGTTGGTTGTGGATGGTAGTTCATTCGGTCCATCTTTTCCGTATTTTCATGCAACGCAACGTAGGAACGATAGAAAGAGAGAGAGAGAGAGAGAGAGAGAGCCTTACGGTTTACGCTTACAAATACGTACGTGTCTATGAGTAGATGGAAGCAATTTTGGAGTCGTTTTTAGGGTGCCTATGAAATTGTTCTTTTTATTTGCCATTTTTACCCTTTTCAGGGCAACACTTTCACCTTTAATATTTCAATGAATGTATTGCCTATACGTCCTATATATAGTACGTGTATTTTTCCATTTGGTATTTTAAAATTGCAATTCGATATATAAATTTTGAACTTCAATTAAATTAAAATTGTACTCCGCGATCTATATATTAGGGATGAATTGAAGGGAGTATATTATATTACTCCGTATATAATAAAATATTTCAAAATTGTGCTTTGAAATGAATTTACTCCGTATATTATAATATAATATTTTTTTTCTTCATGTATTACAATCAAAGTTTGAAATAGAGTATCTAAGCAATAAAGAAAGCCAAATAAGTGTCGGTGGGCATTGCGCAGTTGGCAAAGGAGGTAAGACTCGTGATCGACTCCTGACAACTGCACTGCGAGGCAACCATGCTAAACATGAGATCTATGCAAGTATCAGGTGTAGGCTTCACTTTATATCACCAATGATTTAGCGTTCATCATTTTTTGTTAAGAAAGCCAAATAAAAAAGAAAACTTTCAAAAAACGTAGTACGGAGTAACTAAGCTTTTTCTCTATCACACCCTCAATGTGGTGAGGCTGTCATCTCACATGCACATAGCTCTAGTGGGAAATGTAATGGGGGGGGGGTCTATTATTATCCCTACGGAGGGGTATCTTTTAATTAATTAGGTACAAGCACCAATATATATATATGTGTGTGTGTGTGT